CTGCAGCTATGATGTTAAACCACATGGCGCTTGGCTCGGTTCCCTCCTGACATGTCAGTGTTCTGTAACACGGTGCTGAGGCAATATTTACCTTCAAGGGAAAGTTCACTTGGCACACAGCCGAACCTCTTGGGGTGGCTGCTACTGTGTACTACATCCAACCTTTCCACCCACCCAAAATCATCAAGCTGACCCAGGCAGCCACCCACAGCCTCACAGCAGCAGCACTGCCCCGCCTGACTCCGCTGCTTGGACCAGAGCCAAACCAGAGCCCGAGCAAAGCGCCAAGAGGGACAAAGAGCAAGATACACACACTCAAAATGTGAGTGCAGGAGGAGAAAACTGGCGAGCGTGAACACATTGCACCTCGGCCTGGCAGTCTGCCAAGGCTCACTCAAGAGGCTCTTTTTTTTTTTTTTCCTTTTACCCACCACAAAAGCCAATCGGCGGTCAACCCCCTGTAGAGATTTGAAGTGTTTTACAAAGATACTCCCGGAGCAGTGCACGACGCAGTCAAGATTAAGCCGTCTTTCCCAGCAGGGGGTGTTAGCAGAGAAATCACACTAAGCTCACAAAATTTAACAAAAGACAGGAACATGTTCAGAGAGTTAATATTAGCAGAGGAAACTCAATATTTGGAGGACATGACTAGGAAAAGAGCAAAACACAATTTGCAATCAAGAAAGAGTAAATGGAAAACTGCAGGAGCCACACAGAGGAAGGAACTAACCTGTCTGAAATGGTCGTCAAATCCCCAGTCGGCCTGTCCATTAGGAGAGGCAGACGAGTTTGGCCCTGCAGGGGACATGCCCTCATCAGGTTCCTGCTTCACTCTAACAGGTGGGGAGGCAGCTCTCTGGGGGGCCGACATGGAGTAGCCTGCAAACGGACGGGCTGGGATGCGGGAGGCGTTCTGTTGCAGAGCCAGGGTCTGCTTGCGGAGAAACTCCAGGCCGCTGGGGTTTCCCTCATCCTCGTCGCTTCCCTCGTCCCCCTCCATCATCTCGTTGTCGTCATCCTCATCCCCCGAATCCCGGCCTCTGTCCTCATCCTCCTCTCTTTCCGAGTCCACGCTGCTCTGATTGGACACCCGAGGAGGCAAGCCGGCTGCAGGAACGCCTCCGGCCATGCCTTTGCCCATGAAGCTTGCCCCGGAAGCCCGGGCTGCGGCCAGTATGGCCTGCTGGGCTGCAACCTGCTGAGCGTACATGATGTGGGCCTCTCGCAGCTTCCGTTCCTTCCTCTCCATTTCCAGACGGGCCTGCTGCTGGCGCTGGAGCTGCTCCATCACTGCCTCCAGCTTCATTCCCCCTGTAGAGGTGCTCTGTGGAAAAGCCACACTGGGCTCCTGAGACATGCTTGGCTGTGGAGGGAAGAGAAAGAACCATAAAGAACAGATAAGGAAAGCTACTCTCTCCATAAAGATACGTTAGCAACAAATTTGCATACATACAAGAAATTTCTAAATAACCAAAAAAACATGTTTTCAGTGGTAGGGACATTATTAAACCAGGTTCAAAATAAATTTTGCTGTAAAATAAAAGAATAATAAATCCAGGACATTATGCGGTAGAATCAATACTAAAATATTTCCACTCTTATCTTATCCTTTTTATGTATACTCAAATACTGTAAATGCACACACGCTCTAAATAAAGGAAACTAACAATTAAGCACATTGCAATTTAACCGGGTGTTAAAATGACTGATGCAGACAACAAATTCAATTTTAAATAGAAAACGGCACATAGACGGCAGATAAATATTGACTGCTATGACTCTTAGGACACGGGCTCCACGTAAATTTGTCGCCGAATCTTTACCCAGGAACAATTTCTCTTGGTTATTTTGGTGAACAAGTCTGACATGTAATTTTATTTTATTGAAATAGCATTTTAAGATTCTATTTTCACAGATTTTGGGTTATTTATTATCCCGCTGTGGAGCACTTTATGAAGCGTTTCTTCCACTGTAATTTGACCACAATGGGGATTTTTTTTTTTTTTTTTTTTTTTAGTTAAGCATTTTCATAAATTCTAAACATGAAAAAAAGTCATGACTGTTAAAATCTGAAATTAATTTCAATTTTTGTGTTACACCCCATTTTATTCATTTGTGTTCTGATCCCCGTTGACTTTTGGAAATTTGATAGATTATGATCCTTGATCAAACCAAGACAATGCTAAGTGACGTCCTGTTGATATTATTTATTGAATTCATAACCACATTTCCCTGCATATATGAGCAGATAATAGAAAATGACTCAACTGCTTTTGAAAAATTGTTTTCCAATCACAGGGTTGACACTTGATAAGGGTGCTGGTCATTTATCCCTCTTACCCACTCAGCATTGGCTTTTTTTTTTTATTATCTCAAATTCATACAAGGAGGTGTTTTGTACCCGTTTTGACAACAAATGATTTCCAATGCTTTTTATGCAAATTGGAAGGTCTTTTAAAAGGAAATATGATTACAAATTCCAACATTTTCTACCAGCAGAAGGTCACATAGATTTACTATTTTGATTTGGTCAGTGGTTGTGTTTCCAGAGTCATCTGGCCCAAATTGAGATTACAACCAAAACTCAAAGGAAATAGGAAGTAATAGATTATAAAATCCAACTGAATTAAACTACAGGTGAGCCCAATAATCCACATACTTAACGTAAATACTCGTAATAAAAAAACACAATACATAGGTATGCAATTTCTTCAAAGACACGGAGGAGAAATGGGGGTACAAAGTGGCAAAGGGGTCAAATTACCAGGACGCCCACCTTTTCGAGCCTAAATAGACAAAATTTAAAACGTAGGAAATGGCAAGAAGGTGAAATGACCAGAACCCGGACTGGTATTGGAAGTAGACGGTCGTGAAAGAGAGGGATGGACACAAATTTGACATAATTAATTAAACTATAATCATATTATATTAATGTGAAAACTGTCGCCAATTAAGTCATAGGTTTTGGTCAACATTATTATTAATAGCAAACTACCAAGTGGGGGAAAAAAAAACAGACACAGTTAAAGCACCTCCTCCGTATTAGAGCGAGTTAGCTGCCACATCCTCAAAATAACGTGGATAACATAAGAGATAAGGTGGAGATAACATGCAAACATGCCAAGTCAGCCAACTTACGCTTTTTTTTTTTAAGAATACAAATCAAAAATTTTGCCCCAGCTGCCAAATTAAAAACGAATGAAAAGTAACCAGCTCTAAAGGACATGTTACCTCTCCAAACTTTGCTCTCCTTTTTCTTTGGGAAACTACGCGATCAGCAGCCACCTCCTCCTCTCGGCAGCGTGAATAAAAGCGTAAAAACGAACTCTCGGAGGGCTTTTTCAGCTCGCTGCCAGGTCAGAGAAGAGCAGAGCCACAAACAAGCACAGCGACCACTCACCATTTGCGCCTTGCTACTGCTGGAGTTGTCCACCATCCCTCCTTCCTTGGGGTTTTATCCTCCTTCCCTCGTTTCTGGCACTAGTTCAAACACTTGTAAACACACACGCATGCGCGCGTGCACGCCCCTCAGATTCCGACTGATCCGCCGGCAGAAGGAGAAAAAGGAGCTATCCGACGTTTTCTCCTGGGCCAGTTCCCCAGGTTTGCCCGTTTTTTTCTGTCTGTTTTCCAACCGCTTTCGTAAAATTCGTTATTTCCTTCTTTAATAGATAAGGGAGCAGGGTGGTAAATGACCCAATCTCATACCTCGGAAAGCGCTGAGGTAACTCCCTACCGTTTTTTTTCCCTCCAGTGGAGTTGACACCCCCCTCGCATGGCGCACACCAGCGTTAGGCCCGCCCAACGACAGCAACAAGTATTTCGATTTAATTAAGTTAATACATGCTTTTATCTGACAGTAATTTCATTATTCCTCAACCGTTTGAGGATTACAAAGAACGTGTTTGCGGTTATTGCGACGACATCATAATTATGCCTTATTTTTAACTGAATCAAAATAAAAACACAGGTATTGATGCAGTCGCGTGTATATTTTTGAAGCCAACGTGTACAGATTTTTACATTTTAGGGTGTATACTGTAGATGCACAACTTACACATTTTGCTTCTGTAGCATAAAAGTCTTTCAAACGACATGTTACAACAACTTGGAAAATGTTTGCCTCAACAGGTAGTTCAAGCAGCACAGCTCTATGCTGCCCCCTTCCGGAAATTAATGTCGGTAATTCGATTTAAAAAGTTAAACATTTGTCCATATTCCTTACACGGTTACAGATCTGAAGCGTTTATTTGTTTTGATTGTAATGGTTATGATTAAGAGCTAACGCAAAATTTTGTTTATCAGAAAAGTACAGTTACATAAGACCAATAAAAATACAATTTAATAGAGAAATGTCAAACTGCCCAATATATATTGCAGTAGATACACTTAACATATTTGAAAACCTAATTAAATTTATAATTTGATTTATAATTAGTGGGGAAGTGGTTTGCATTTTTCTTGTTCTGAGCCATGTAATTACAACAAAATTATTTGAAATTTATACTTAAAAAAGGACAAATTTGAATAAATTGTTTTGATGTGCAATTTGGTGATGTTTAGGTAAAGATATAGTGGAATGTAGGATCTTAATTAAGCAGAAGTCAGTGAGAACATGTTTTGTTTGATCAAAAACTTTTTGAACTGATATTTTAAAAGTTAAAGCATCTGGTAATACCAATGTTCATTGACCTGCTTTAAGTCAAAATGGGGTTTTTTTTCTAATTAAAAGAAATGAAGTAGTTAACGTTCACAACATGTTTAGACAATTTGAAAAATGATCCTACTCATTTCAACAGAAGATAATTGGTTTAAATGACATGTATTAGTCTGGATAGCCAATGCTTTAGTCATCCTGTTCTGAAAGAGCAGCAATTTCTCATATTTAAGTGGTTGAACAGAACAAAGATTGTGGTAGTCCAAAAAGAAAGAGGTTCCCTGTAATGTGAATTCTTTACACAATCCGCACCGTTACTTTCAATGAACACAAATACAAACCATGTTAATTGATTTTTTTATTTATAATGTAAACCAACAGAGTACAATGGGAACCGAGTATTTACAGTTGTAAAACAAACAACAAAACATTTATTTATTGCATTCAGCACTCAATAACACAACCTTGTCACAATGTTCTACAACAAGCAGATTGTCCCATAGTTGCATAGTACAGGTGAGTCAAGTGTACTTGCTACTGGCAATTGGTGTTAAGTGCAAATTTTAATCTACATCAAAACACACCACAGAGCAAGAAATGGGGTTAAAAAATTAATTCAGTAGGTCCATATAAAGCAGTCTGCTCAAACCAGAAACCTGCCTTAAAACTATAAAATGTAAGGAGGTTATGCTGCGTATTTCAACTCTCCAATTCAGGATTTATGACCCGCTTTCAGCTCTTCCTTCATTATCCTAGCACAGAATTTTGTTTTTCATCTAGTCCTATACTTCCTTAATGTGGTGAACTGTTTTGCTGTGCATATATGCAACAGTAGGTAGGGAGGTTTTTATCCTGCCTGTAATATTTTATTCTCTGGAGCGGGTGTGTAATTTTCAAATTTAATTTTAAATATATATGCAAAAGTCTTATCTGATCTCTGTGCATCCGCGCATAAAACCCTCCTGAGAGGGAGAAGTCTCTTCATCTCTGACAAATAGATGGTGTTAATAGTTTTAAGATGCATCCAAAAGTGAAAACAGTTAATGCTGTAATCTCAATGACAAATACGTTCTGAAGTGTTGGACGCCACAACAAGCATCAGAACACAAAGCAAATAAATGTATGAATACTAACACTAAATGTAAATTATATTAGAACTGTAAATAACTTGTAACAAGTATTTCAGCATACACTTAAATGCAATGATAAATAAATAATGTAACACAAATCTGATGTGGAGACATATTTTGTTAGGAGCTGCTTAAACCAAAATACTACACAAATCAAAAGAAATTTACCTTGAGGAATCATTTTGTCTATCTTCAGTCTCTTCAGTACATTTGGGTTTTTTTTTAATTGTAGATCTGTGCCAAGGTGAACGACAAGATCCAAATGTAATCCTCAATTTAAGCACAGTCGTCAAAACTACATCTTGAACCATAAACAGAAGCTGTACAATGTGCCAAATGTATGAACGGAGTGCTTCTTAGTTTGCTGCAGTTTTGTTCTGAGTTGCATTTGCTGAGACAGGTGCTACATATGTATGGTCACCTTGCTATTTAGAGTTTCGAGAGAGAGAAAGAGAGAGAGAGAGGAAGCGAGAGAGAGAGAGAACCAGATGTAGATTATAATGACAGAGGAAGTAAAAATAAAACTAAGACTACTATTGTGCACTCAGGTGCTGCCAGTATTCCCATGAGGTGCCAATATATTATTTAACAGTTACAGATAAACAGCTGATCATTTCAGATTTGTCAAAGGGTTAAACTTTCCACACAGACCTTTCATACTGGTGGTATTCTAGGGGGTTACAGACCTGCTCACCATGGAGGAAATAAACCAGCCAGCTCCTCCTTGAGTCAACATTCTTATCAAGAATGTTGAAATACTCCATCACTCAACTCAGACCAGTGTCATAGTTACGGCTTGTTTTGTGTAATGCTGCAAGAACATGATAAATAAATACAATTAGTTAGGCTTTGGAGTCACAGTGGATAAGGCTTGCTCTCATGTCCTTCTGCATTCTCACTGCAGCTGAGCGATCTCGGTGTTCAATGCTTGCAGTCCAGCATCAGGCCTCAGAGCTGGATTTCCTCAGGCAACATGCAGCAGCTGAGCTGCATTAGAAAGAAGAGCTTTGGCCCCAGCAACTAGCGAGCTGAATAAAGAGTCAGACCTTCAGAAGGTCCAAGTCACAGCACCGACATCACTGCATGGGGCAAGATGGGCACTCGAAGCAGCAGCACACAGAAGAACCCATGGCTTTGGGGGGAATCAGGTCCAAGTCTTCATCATCAGGAATCTCATCCAGGTGGTAGCCATCCTGAAGCAGCTGCTTGCTTAAATCAGGATGGACCTGGGGAGGAAAAAAAAATACACACTCCACTAGAACCTCACAGAACAGTTGAGCTAAAGCTGATAAATGTTAGTGAGTTTACATTTGAAGTTAGTTTTATCCCGTGTAGAGAACTGATGAGGGAAGTATTTTGGGGTTTTTTTAGACAATTTCCTGAAGTTTCCTGCCTGATTAGATCATCGGGATAAAAGACCTTAAACACTTTTATCCAAATTTTTAACAAATAATTGATAGCTGTCAAGTTAAAATTTTAAGGACTAAAACATACAGGATAAATATAGTCATGCTGTAGATTTATTGACAAAGAAGTTTTAAAGATAAAGGGATTACAAGTTTAACTGGTTTATCAAGAACATACTTGCCCTTACCTTTTGTCTGATTCTTCAACTAAAACAAAGTGTATAACGAGACATTTATAGACATTTGCTATAAATCAAGATATTTCAGTTTTTTCCAGGCCAATCACCAAACAGAACCAACTAAGGGAAAAGCGGCAGATTCTGATATTTAGATGATTGATTGGGGGCTTCTCTAGGACTAACTTTTGAGAAGATTGTAAGTTTATCATGAGAACATCCATCCATCCATCCATCCATCCATTTTATTTACATCCTTGTCCCTCAGTGGGGTCGGGAGGGTTGCTGGTCCCCATCTCCAGCTATTATAAGAATATAATAACATTTAATTTGCATAAAGCTGCCAATCTTCCTGGGTGTGGAAGTTTCAGCCAGTTTAATTTGAAGAGAGATTTTACAAGGCTCAGAATAATCCCAAAAGATCAAAAAACTCCATTTAAAAAGGCCTTCAGTTAGCTTCAGTTAGTATGTTAAATAAAAAAAAAAGTTCATGAGAGTCCAAACAAATGAGAGGATAATAGACAAGTTTGGCTTGTTTTAAGGAGTTCCAGGAAAAAGACTTGTAGTTCCTAAAGAGAGTCTATTAAAGCTAAGCTGAGAAAAGAATAATATACATCCAGATTAGACATAGGTGGACAGGTCTGCTCAGATCTGAAATATGTACCCTGTGGTACATTAAGATATTCTACAATTAAAAACAAAGCCATTTGACAGTCACAGCGAGACTGTTTGTTTTCATGCACGACAGTGATCTCACCCAAATGAATACTTATAGAAGAATGAGAGCAGCTATTAAAAAAAATACTGTGGTGGGGAGCCTGTATAAACAAATCCAAATGCACAAACTCAAGACTAACATAGGAAATAAGGCCAGGCAATTTCTCTGTACAGCATATGTCACATATCACCTGAAACGAGGGTGTGAGAAGAAAAAGGAAAACAACTATGCACATAAATTACTGTGGCATTAACTCAATGACTACTGAGTAAAAAAAAACTAAAAATTGTCATATGTGACGTGGCTAATGTGGTTGTTAGTTGAAATAACTCAATAAAGTAATTTTCTATTAGTGCTATAAGAAAAACTGTTTCATTTATCTTTTGCCTCCTATTTGCTTTAAAATCTATATATCTGTTACAGATGTCCTGCAAAAAAAAAATTGCGCAATAGTTTGTGAATAATTACTCTGAAGGCAAGGCTTTCAATAAACCACTTTCTTAATAGTGTGAAAAGGTGCACACAGAGAATAAAAAATGCACTAATTGAGTTAATGAAGGACCTCGGTGAAAAGAAAACAAAATGATCTTCCCGCAACCACAGGCCGACAGTCGCGCAGCCAGTTTGACAATATGTCAAAGAATCAGACAAATCTGAAAAATGTCCAGTGAGACAAACTCACCTCGGCTGAAGAGTATCCTGAGGAATACTGCTCAAAATCGATCTCTTCATCACTGTAAACATCAGGAAGAGAGACTGTGAATGTCGTAAATGTAGCTGTTAAACTAAATCAGAAGTGCATTATCAAGCCGTAAATACGGTTTTAAAGATCATTTTGACCTCGAAGGCGGCATCATCGGATTGATTTATGCCTCTTTCTGTGTGCCCCACCTGTCTGAGTCTAGCGCCACCAACATTTCCTCAGCGTTCTGGCTTAAAGCAGCGTAGCCCTTGTTAAACTTCACCGTCCTGAAAAAGAAGGTAGAAAAAAATATCTCCTTAAACATCCCTGTTTCGTGTGACATGATTTAAAAAAAAAATCTGCTTTTCTCTTTCCCCACCTCTTGACTCCCTGTCTGGGCTGTTGTGCCACTGGAAGACCAGCAGAGAGGGCTTTCTTCTTTAGCGCTTTCCTCACCATCTCCCTGTGTTTCTCTTTGAACGATCAAAAAGAATAAATGTCATCCTTACGGTGACAGATTGAAACCAACAACCAGATTATTGATTAAACCATACTGAGATTCATCAGTGCTACTGTGCACATATTCTAATGTATAATCCCTGATTGTTTAAAGCCGGTCAGTACTGTTTGCACATGATATCTGCATTCTATGACCTCGGATGAAATAAACCCTAAACATTCTAAAAAGTCAGGGACTTAACCTCAATGGAATACTTAAATATAACTTATATAAATCACTGGTGGTTCATAGATGTAATTTAACGTTGTTCTCATCTCTCCCCTTGCATTATTAGTGAAAATGCTCACGTAGTTTGAGGTGGATGGCTGGAGCTCTGGACATGATGTAAGGTCCTCTCTTTTCCACCGGCCGGATGCCTCCATCTGGAATCTTAGGTCTTGTGCTGTTACTTGGTCCCTGAAATTTCACAAATTCAAACAAAAAGGGTTCATAACCGTTAAACAGTTCCGCATTTTTGTCAGACCACAACCACAAACCTCAATGTATTAACTTAGATACTCAAGTTTGTTATTGTTTATTCTACGCAACAGTATGAAAGGTGTGTATACATTTGCATATAGCCTCTTTATAAAGACACCCCTTTGTAAATTACACTGCCACTAACTCCAAAATAAAGAAACTGAACTAAACTGAAACTGAACCAAGACTTGGAAATCCATGTAAACTGACGGGCCAGAATAAACAAAAGTAGTGCGTCTGTTCTCAGCCATTTTGTCTGCTCTTCACTGGCCTCTCAACGTCACCAAATTCATTTCAAAATCCTGTTGTTTTCTTAGAAATGCCTAAATGGCGTTCCTTGTCTGCACCTCTCTGATTTACTCCAGAATGATCTTCCTTCTTTTTCAATAACGTTTGGCACCATATAAGCTGACATGGTCGTTTTTTGTGTCTGTGTTTTAATAATTATTTAATAGCTTGACTTTTATCCCTTTTTCTTAACTTATTTTTGTACTTGATAAACTTGCCGATTTAAATGTACTTTATAAATACATTTATAAAGTACATGGATTTTGTATAATCAGAACATGCCATCCACACTGGGGAACAAAGTGGAGGCAGCATCATGCTATGGGAAAGATCTTCTTCAGCAGAGACAGAGCTTATAGTTTACATGAAAATGCATGAAGCTTAATACATGCAAGAAAACGTGAGGCTGCATAAGTCTGGGGCAGAAGTTCAACTTTTAGTGGGACAACCCTAAACATACAGCCAGCCGGCGCTTCAGTAGAATGGATTGGATCAAAGTATATTTATGTGTAAGAATCATAGTCCAGTTATTTATCTAACACAGACACTCTGGCTAGACTTGAAAATTGATTTCCAGACTTTTGAATCTGATTAAGCTTGAGATATGTTGCAGAACAACATTTTCAACCTCCAAACGTGTAAAGATGTTAGGAACAAATCTAAAGAGTTGCAACAGCTAAACACAAAAGCACACCACACTGTCAAGCTTTTATTTACCGTAAGGTAACCTAAGAATCAATTTCCCTCTTTAAATACATTGACGTTTGTGGATGCAACGCGACAAAATATGTTAAGGTTGGAACTGTTGAGTAAATACATGAACTTATGGATATTAAGAGTGTTTATTGAAACACACATTTGATGAGCAACCTATAAAAAGATTTTGGGGGGGGGTTACAAATAAAAAGCACTATGATTACAACACAGTACAACACAAATACACTTTGTTGTATTTGTGTTAGTTTAGCTTTCATTATAAACCCTAACTGTTCGAACAGGAGAAAGCGGTTGAGAAAGACGTATTTTTATGTCAATCACCAGGCTGGTGTTATTGTCACATATATAAACTCAGAAGCTTTTCTTTGAAGCTTATCTCATGTAAACAACTGTCAAAGATGACATGCTAGGCTAGCTAGCTAACCTCCCAGTTTCTGTTTTCATCCAAGCTGTCGTTGGACTAGCTTTAGCATTACCGACAAAACTTGTTGTTCCTGCTGCGCCTCCAGGAGTGTGTCCTTTTCAGGCTCCTCTATTATGTCGTTCATCATCTTCGGTTTAGTTGTCAAAATTTTTTCCACAACATAGCTATGACATTAGTCCCACAGGAGAGGGACCTGGTGATTACTTTTAGGCACTTCTGTTAGCCCGCTAGACTGTTGCTATCAATGTTAGCCAAGGTCTCTACTTCCGGGGGAAAAATAGATAACGACTCCAGAGTTTAAAAGATTGACCATAAATAATGCAAATACATAAAAAAAAGATAAGGACAAGTGCTAGTTAGCAATTAATTTTAAAACACTTGTAACAATAAATAAAGTACTAAATTACGAATACTACACTGATTCTTCTTTTGCTATATGTAAAACTACGCTGCTTTTTAGCAGTTTGTCGCCATCTAGTGGCAAAGAGAGTGGATACGGGTGGATAGCAAAATGTAAAAATACAGTGGAAACACATGCACGGAATTATGGTACACTTAGTATAAGTGTTTCATAGAGCTCCTGCACTTACACATACAGATCATTGTATATTTAAGATATCATTTACATTTTATATGTAAATGTTATGTCAGGTATCCTTTCATCTGAATTACTGAATCAATGTAGCATAGTAAGGAGGTGATAAGCCTGTGACTTTGCTTGGGTGTGTAGGAAGACCTGGTTGCTTTACAGCTGTTCACATATTGCTGCATCTTTAGGGCAACATGAGGAAACCAGCCTCAGCATACAATATGTTCTAATTAAAAAAAAAAAAAACACCTAATAAATGGATGCTATCTTTGAACTTCAGAAAACACAATGACCCAACACCTGATGATGACATGGCTGCCAAAATCATCCCAGATCCTGGAAACCTCAAACTGAACCTCATATATTATGGATTCTGTGCCTCTCCAATTTTCTAAAGATTCTAGGACTTTAATTTCCAAATAAAATGCAAAATGTACTTCAATATGACAAGGGAACATTGGATCACTGAGAAACAATCTGTAGGCTACTGTTGTCCCTTCTACTTCTTTCTTTCCACTAAGTTCCTATCGATATTTTAAATGCAGAACTCTGAAGAGCAAGCTTCTTTAGCAGTAGTTTTTTTTTTTTTTTTTTTCTGGCATACACTCCTTGTGAATTTTGATGAAATTGTCAAATTATCAATCTTTCCTTTGATTTTGTAGCACAAGAACAGGAAAAAACCCTTTCAGGTCATATGCAACAATTTTCTTAAAAACTTGATGCTCGCTTTTCATCATCTGTAAGCCATAATAGGCATGAGAAATTATCCACAGATAAGCAACACTACATATATTAAGCACATTATCACACACTGTGCTGTGTGTATTACATACACAGTGTGTGCAATAAATCTATGAGTTTCACTTTAAAACAAATTTCTTTTTGTGATATACTTATTTATAACTCAGCACTTCTCTGGCTTTCCTCTAATGTTTTTTTAATCATCAGCACATATTACATTTGTAGTTCTCTTTCAAATACATAACACGTTTGGTAACTGTTTTTTATTATTATATCCATTAATTTGTACAACAGCACAGAATGTATTGAATCAACAGTATAGATATTTCCAACGGGGGTCAGTCGGGAGAATCATCACTTAAAAAGGCCTGAAAGAAAAAAGAGAAGAGTGAGATGTTTCAACCCACAGGTATTTTTATGTGCAGCATTACAGTTTTACACTTTGAGACAGTCAACAAACACAACATGGGTGTGAGCCAGTGTGTAGTGTAAACACCCTCTCACCTCGACAGTCTACAGCTTGTCAATTCCAAGCTCCTCTGGTGTTGAGATGCCAAGTTCTGTGAGGGTGGGCTTCAGCTCTTGGATCACGTAGGGATAGATTTCTTTGTGGGGACCTGCTTTGTCCTGCAAATGGGAGAATATGCTTGGATTTATTGCAAATTAGACAAGTAAATTTCAGTACACTAAATGCTGGAACATTGGCATTTTCGTGACTCTCTGACTGAGCTTCAGTTTGGAAGTGCTAGATGAAAAGTCCAGAAAAGAAACTGAACTCTTGCCTTAGCCAATGGAGGGAGTGAGACTCACCTTGACGGCTTCAAGGATGCGGATGGCGCTGGCGAGATCGTTCAGCCTACGACAAGCTCTTAATGCTGAATCCAGGATCTTGGGTTCCGGGACCAGGTCATATCCAATTAAAGTGTTCATGCCTGTAATTGGTAAAATCCTTGTTATTTACCAGCCAGTAAGTATTTCAGAAGTGACAGTCTCACTTGGTGTCATCAACAAAGTTTCCTCCACAGTTAGGATAATATAAAACTGTTTGTTTTCTGTTAGAAGAATTACTATATGTATTTCAGCCTCAACAAAGACAAACAAGTGCAGGTATTCCAGGGCTGCTTCTCCCAGTGTTCACTGGATTAGCAAGTATGTTAAAAGCTAGAACAATAACAGCCTACTACTAACTTAAAGAAAGTTTTTTTTTTTTTTCCACAGGTATTAAACTTTTAAGTTACATTAGCTGAATTTGCCTAAAGCTTCCTCAGAAATTCAGTCTTCTTGTGGATCTGGTGAGGAGTTTTAAAAGCTACACAAACCAAAACATTATCAGCAAAAACACCAGGAAACTCTCTTAATGACAACAGCAACCAGTGCAGTCACCTTTCCTCAGCTCCCAGGCATCAATGTCAGGTTTGCTGAAGTAGGTGACCCAACGAGAATCAAACTCCTCTTCCGTCTCCACTTTCCCATGGGAATAACATCTGGATGCCAGGGGAGCTGGGGAAAAAAAAGTGCAGAATTATTATAAAGCAAAACCTGTTTAAAACAATCACAAAATCACACCAAGAAATAACACCTGATTTATTTTATTTAAATAAATGTAAATATATTTTATTTAAATAAATCAGGCATTTAACAAAAAACTAAACTTAAGAATATAGAACAACTAAATGAAGGAGCTCTAAGTGCTTGTTGTGCTGTACATTTTGCCTTCTGCTTTTGATAGAGTAAGACAAGAATAAGAAGCTGTTGTCGGATGGTTGACTACCATTATTACACAACCAGACAGTAATATGGTGCTTAAGTTGCATTACTTTAATCCGTACAACTGGAGAAAAACCCAGTCACCTCGACAGTTTCTCAGCCTTGTATAAGAAAAAAAAACCTGAAATCAGAGGAACACATTTTCAGCAATTGTGAAATGTTACCTTTTCCTCCCTTCTGAACCTAGGTTAGACAATTCTTCAACAATTACCTTTTGTGGAAATTATCAAAGTTGGAGGGACAGACTCGAATCAGCCACCTTCCCCATGATCGCATATACAACAGAATAATATTTCTTAGTTAAAATTAGTTTTGAACTACTTTTCTGGGGAAATACATTGTCAGTCTTTATAATTGTAAAAATGCTTAAATGTGTCATTCTGCATTTAATCATCAGCCATATTAGGGTTTTCAAGTTACCAGAGCAGGTAACTTTTCAAAATCACAAATACTTTTACACACTGACACCAGTAGTAGACCCATATCTAATGCTGAATAATGGTCATTTAGCTACAACTACTTGCTCCAAATGACACATGCAACACTTCTTGATCCCACTGCACAAATGGTATTTATTGTCAGACTAAATCTGCATCTGATTTTAATCAACAACTTAACATACTAAACTATGATCCCAAATGAGCATTAAAAGTTCTCAAAGAAGATAAAATCAAACCAGCAGTAGTTCTCCACCTGCTGTCGTGTGCTTAATATTGTCCCCTATTAGTTTTACTCAGAGGTGAAACTTCTCAGGTCAGGACGAGGAACAGAAGGTTGCTCGTCCTTAAATCTCAACTTCTTCTAACATAATTTTGCACTTTCTTCAAGGTATTATACACTTTGATTCATGACTATTTATCAACATAGACTCTTTTCTGTTTCCTTTTAGTGACTAAAAAGCTTTTCACCTGAGCTGGAGAACTTTACACGGGTTTAAAGAGAACAGATCAGAAAAACGCATTTTGATTAGATGAATTAAGCCGTGGGTCAAATAAAACTACAGAATGAGTGTTGGTCATAGCTGTGTTAAACTGCGGCTACCGACACTTCTGAACTGACTAAACGGGGTCATCACAAGGTCGAGAGGCTTGTTCTTTAAATTTCATTCCAAGAACCCAATTAAAATACAGAATGAACCGTAAAAGAGCAAAACACTGATAATACGAAACTAAAAGAAACAGCTGCATTCAATAATGCTTCAATGTCACCCTGTGTTAGCTTGTGGCTATATGCTAGCCGAGCAAACCAATCGTATTCAAAGTTTTATAAGATTTTGCTCTAGGTGTAAAGCGGACCTACGTACCCGAGTAACCGGTCCGTGTCCGAGCCACACTTCGGAACCCTGAGGTCGATAAACGGGAAAGAGCTCGCAACATGGTGCCGAACAGGAGATGCTAATCGTCCTGTAAGTGATAGAGAGGGAAATTCTGGACGGACAGACACGATGAGGGCGCCTGTCATCACGTGATTCACGGAGAAAGCCGAACGCCTCTACGTAGAGGACGTCGACCTGACGTAATTTCTGGAACGTGAATTCTTGTTTTCTAGAGTAGACCACACTTAAGAATAGACGCCTTATGGACCGCTCTCGCCTATTATCGCTGACGAGATTTAGGGCGGCCATCTTGGAGCGGTTCACC